TAAAGCGGCCATAAAAAAGGCGTTTACTGTCTATTCTTGATTCAACACATTTCCACTGTAGTGTCCGAGTAGATACTGCTACTTTCTCTCGAACCATAAAAATTTTGATTTAGTATATTAGTGAATCTTCTATTTCTCTTGATATAGGTTCACTTTTGATTTCTACACACGTCGTTTTTTGGGGGGTCTACAGCCATTGTGTGGCATAGGGGTTACATCCCTTATAAAAGTTAATAATATACCGCTTCTATGAATAGCTCGTAATACTGCATCTCTTCCGAGACCGGGACCTTTTATAAATACTTCGGCTCGTAGCATACCTCGATTCACTACTTTACGAAGAGCATTTATTACCGCGGTTTGAGCAGCGAAAGGTGTTCCTCTTCTGGTTCCTTTGAATCCAGAAGTACCGGCAGAGGACCAAGAAACTACCCGTCCCTGTACATCTGTAACAGTCACTATGGTATTATGGAAACTGGCTTGAACATGAATTACTCCTTTTGGTATTCTACGTGCATTCTGACGTGAACCAATACGTCCCCCCTTCCTACGCGAACTAATTCTCGATATATATTTTACCATTAAGCATTTTGTAAATCTGAGTCAGCGATATACTATATGGATATATCCATTTCACGATTCTTTCATTTCTATAATTGGTTTAGTTACTAAGTTAAGTTGCGAAGTCTTATTATCCCTGTCGTTGTTTATGTCTGGGATTGGAACAAATTACTATAAGTCGTCCCCTTCTCCGTATTAATCGACATCTGTCACAAATTTTACGAACAGAAGCTCTTATTTTCATATTCAGACTCCTTACATTTCTTTTAAATTTACTTTAGAGTTTCGGTTTGATTGGAAGATTATAATAAAAACATTCATTTTTTTTTTTATTTTCAATTTCTAATTTTGTTATTTTTGCCAAAGAGATAGCTAAGTTTAAAAATGACTCCTTTGAATCATTGTTGTGTTGCAAAAGCTTCATCGACTTGTTCTGAAGTTATCCGTCTAAACTAAAAATGAATTTAGCCTATTTTCACAAAAAGAACTTATAATCCAATCTTTATTACTTTATTAGTTGATTATCTAAATCAATAAAAAAGAAAACCAGAACATACTATTTGAAAAGGATTCCTTAATAAAAAAATTCTTGAAAAAAGGAAAGTGATTTTTGTTCTTTCATCCGAAGGACTTTATTCTTTATTTCAGTGACCTAGAAGCAATAAGGAATGGGGATTTCATTAGATTCTAAAATATCCCATTTGGGAATCATAGAAATGGAAAGTTTCTACCTAATTGGCATCTTGAAAATATTACCATATATAAAACAAAATCTCCCCCCCGATTCTTTGCAGTCGGGCTTCTCGGTCTGTCATTATACCACGTGAAGTAGAAAGAATTACAACCCCCATCCCGCCTAAAATTTTAGGTATTTTTTTAGACTTAGAATACATTCGTAGACCGGGTCGACTTATCCGTTTTAAATTTAGAATATTGCTAAAGGTCCTTTTTTTAGTGTTTATATGTTGCAGAGTTAAAACTAAAAAATTTTTGTTGTTTTCTCGATGATTTCTCACACTTTCAATAAAACCTTCTTTTAAAAGGAGTTTTACAATCTTTTCGTTAATATTACTGGATGGGATTCGAACTGTTCTTTTTCCATCCCTATGAGTATTCCGTATAGAAGTTATTATCTCAGCAATAGTGTCCCTACCCATGATGAACTCTAATTATGGAGCTAAAAATTTTTCTACTCTCAACGTGTTTTTTTTATTGTCTATGGATTATTGTGTTTATCTTACTTTATTTTAATCTTAAAGTTATATACGTGAGACAGATTCTACTCCATTTTTTAATTTTTTTTATAATACCTCAGGAGCTAATGAAACGATTTTAGTAAAATTTAATTGTCTTAACTCCCGGGGGATTGGACCAAAAATTCTGGTCCCTTTTGGATTTCCTTCTTTATCAATAACAACTGCGGCATTATCATCATATCGTATTATTATCCCGTTGCCACGTTTTAGTTCTTTAGAGGTACGCACGATTACGGCTCTAACTACTTCAGATCTTTGTAGAGGCATGTTAGGTACAGCTTCTTTGATAACAGCAACAATAATGTCACCAATATAAGCATATCGACGATTGCTAGCTCCTATTATTCGAATACACATCAATTTTCGAGCCCCGCTGTTATCCGCTACATTTAAAAGGGTTTGGGATTGAATCATAGCATTTTTTTTATTCTTTTCTTTCACAATGCAAAGGGCGAAGAAAAAAAGAAATATTTTTTGTCCACAAACATAAAACGAAACCTCTTTTTTTTTTGTTTTTGTTTCATTCTTAAGATTCTTTGGGTTGGTTCTAGAGTTATATCGTCTATTCTATCTCCGAAATAATGAATTGAGTTTGTATCGGCATTTTTGATGCTGCTATTGAAATAGCTTTTCTGGCAATATTTTTTGTTACTCCACCCATTTCAAAAAGTATCCGACCGGGTTTAACAACAGCAACCCAATATTCAGGGGATCCTTTTCCTGAACCCATACGTGTTTCTGCGGGTCGTACAGTAACTGGTTTATCGGGAAATATACGTACCCATATTTTTCCTCCACGACGTGCATTTCGTGTCATAGCCCGTCGCCCAGCTTCTATTTGTCTAGATGTGATCCAAGCGGGTTCAAGTGCTTGAAGCGCATATTTACCGAAACAAATATGATTCCCTCGAGAAGCTATTCCCTTCATTCTTCCTCTATGTTGTTTACGGAATCTGGTTCTTTTGGGGTTATAGTTGATGGATTTTTATTTATTCCATCTCTACTACAGAACCGGATGTGAGAGTTTCTTCTCATCCAGCTCCTCGCGAATTACGAATAAAGTATTTACAAAATGAGCGTTTGACTCAAATTGACTAATCATAGTGAAGATATCTAAATCTAAAGATAGATAATAAAAGTCTGGACTGAGAAGTCAAAATAATATTTAGGGATTGAGTGATCTTTTTTTAAATCTATTTGAATTGAAATGAATTATTCTACAGTTTTTTCATGATTCTCTGAGTCTAACTAATCCTTCATTTTTGACTATTCTTTATATTGCTTTAGATTGAATATTGATTCTTTTGAAAAAAGTTTTCGCGGGCGAATATTGACTCTGTCAATTTAGATTTCATTTCTAGGACGAGTTTGTGACATCTTATAGCTAGTATCTAGAAATAAAATAATTTAACATTGGTTTATTCCGCCATCCCAGCCAGTGAATGTTTAAGATTTTTTTTTATTTCATCTTGAATTGAATTGAATCTTTTGTATTCTCATAAGTTCCGTCGTCCCCATCACTTCTTACTTAATGGTTAGGTCCTAATTTTACAATGGAGCTCAAATAGTAATAATATATGAATAATTTAAGTCTTTAGCCATTTTTCTTAGTCTTTATTGGCTTTAAGCTCTTGACTTTATTTTTTTATTTTATCTCTTCTATATTTAATATCTAATTGAATATTTATATATAGATTATAGATTTCTATAATAAGAGTATATTGTTTTTTATTATTGAATATTCTTAGATTTCTTATTCTATTTTAAATACTTTAATATGCAGAATTTAAGTATTAATGCTTCATTACATTGCCTGTTTTGTTAGACCCTACATATTGGAATTTTCAATCATTGAGCTTCTTTTTCTCCCTTTCTCTCTCCCTTCCAATTATCCACATCTTTTTTATATTTTGCTTCGCAACTTCAATAATATTTGAATACTATTTTTCGTTTATGCAAATAAATGGCAGTTGCTACAACGATATGAGCGGTAATCATATCGTGACTGGTTATTTAGATCCAGATAATGCGAAATTGATGAGTTAATTATTAGGTAATTTCTTCTCGAGTTAGTAGTTGTTACTTTGGGTTTGGTTTCATGCTAACCTTAAAAAATAAACGAGTCGCACACTAAGCATAGCAATGATATTTTTATTAAAAATAAATAAAATTTTTATTCAACCTTATAGAATTCATTATTATCAATTAGAACTGTTCCTGCTCATTACACAAAATAATTTGTGAAATGGCCGCTCGGTATTACAGTAAAAAGAATGAATAAAATTTTATTGAGCTTGATCAAAAAATATCCAAATTTTTATGCCTAAAACCCCGTAGATAGTTCGAACTGAATAACAACAATAATCAATTTTAGCTTGAATAGTTTGGCGGGGAATTCTTCCTTCTCTTATCCATTCCACACGTGCAATTTCCTTTCCGTCAAGGCGTCCCGCAATTTGTACTTGAATTCCTTTTGTATCTGCTTGTTCAGCTAATTCAATAGCTTTTTTCATTGCTTTTCGAAAGGAAACTCTATTCTTTAATTGTCCAGCTATAAATTCGGCAAGAATATTAGGATTTCCATACGGTTTTTCAATTTTTGTGATAGCAATATTAAGTTTTCGGTTTACGAAATTTAATTTTTTTTGTAGAGCTTTTTGTAATTCTTCAACTCCCTGCGGGCTATTTTCAATGAATACTTTGGGAAATCCAATATAGATTATGACTTGGATTAGATCGAGTCTTTTTTTAATACATATACCTGCAATTCCCTCGGTACCCGAGGGTTTGATTCTATTTTTTTGTACATAATTTTTTATAAAAGCTCTTATCTTTTGATCTTCTTGCAGATTTTCAGCATACGTTTTTGGTTGCGAAAACCAAAGTGAATAATGGGCCTGGTTTGTACCAAGTCTGAAACCAAGTGGATTTATTTTTTGTCCCATAAATACCTCCTTTTCTGGATATCAGAATATGCTTTAGTTCTAGAATTTTTTTTCGCTTGTGGTTTTTTTAGCAAACCGAGCTCCACGGATTCAGAATCATTGAATGAAATATCTTTTAGTACAATAGTGATATGGCAGGTCGGTCTTTTTATTGGATAACTACGCCCGCGAGCCCGAGGTTTTAATTTCTTTCCAGCAGTCCCCTCATTAACTTCAGCTTGACTAATAACTAAATTTGCTTTATTTGAAGCCATAGTGTAACTAGCATTTGATGCGGCTGAATAAACCAATTTTAAAATTTGATAACTGGCACGATAGGGCATGAGTTCTAATATAATAAGTGTTTCCTCATAGGAACGCCCACGAATTTGGTCAATAACTCTTCGTGCTTTATTAGCCGACATAGCTATACGTCGACCTAAAACGTATACTTCTGGGGTTTTTTTATTTAGCATCTGGTACATAAAATTTGCCTCCTACTAATGACTTATAAGCATCAAAATATTTTTTAGTATTCACATTACCGATGAGATTTCTTATCATTTTTTGCATGTCCTCGAAAATTTAAAGTAGTTGCAAATTCTCCCAATTTGTGTCCGACCATATCATCCATTATATAAATAGGGAGATGCTCTTTCCCATTATGAATGGCAATAGTATGACCAATCATTATTGGAATAATAGTAGATCCCCGGGACCAAGTTATTATTATTTCTTTTTCTCCCTTTGTGTTAAGTTTCTCAATTTTTTTTAATAATTTATGAGCTACAAAGGGATTTTTTTTTAGTGAACGTGCCACAGTTTACTCCTATAAATTTTATTATTCTTTTATTTTTTTATTTTTCATATAATTGAATGAATAAATTTAATTTGTTCTATTATATTAATTTTTTATACTATATATATTACATTAAGTATATTCACTCTATTAACTATATTATACTATTATATTAACTGCGGTGACGAAGAATGAGCTTCTCACTATATTTATTCCTCTTTCTAGTTTTTCTTCCAAGTGCGGGATAACCCCAAGGGGTTGTAGGTTTTTTTCTCCCAATAGGAGCTCTACCCTCACCGCCCCCGTGTGGATGGTCTACGGGGTTCATAACTACTCCTCTGACTACAGGACGCTTACCTAGCCATCGTTTAGCTCCAGCTCTACCCAAATTTTTTTGGTTGAACCCAACATTCCCGACTTGTCCTATTGTTGCGGAGCAGTTTTGGGATATAAAACGGACCTCGCCAGAAGGTAATTTTAATGTAGCTGATTTACCCTCTTTTGCAATCAGTTTCGCCATTGCACCCGCTGCTCGAGCTAATTGTCCACCCCTTCCACGTGTAATTTCTAGGTTATGTATAGTCGTGCCTAAGGGGATTTCGGTCAAAGGTAGGGCATTTCCAATTTTGATTGAAACATTTGTACCAGAAACAATGGTATCTCCAATTTGAGCCCCTCTCGGATGTAAAATATACTTCTTCTCACCAGTCTTATAATGTATTAGACAAATGTTTGCATTTCTATTAGGGTCATATTCTATGGTTATGATTCTACCATATAGGTCTTTTTCATTCCGTCGAAAGTCTATTTTACGGTATAGGCGCTTATGACCCCCCCCCCTATGCCTTGCTGTAATGATTCCTCTAGCATTACGACCTTTACCACAATGATGCTTTCCAGAGAGCAAATTTTTTCTTCGAGCAAATTTTGGGCTGTTTACGGTTTCGCTCGGGTTATAAGTTTTGTATAATTGTATTCCCATGATATAAATGATTTTTATTTTGGATTTAAAAGTTTATTTGTTTGGAGGTGTAAGCCAATGTCTAATGATCTGCGGTAGCCATTGCATTATATGTCCTCTAATAGGGAGGGCCTACCATTATGTGACCCTTTGCCAGAAGCGTAGCACTACTCAAAGTTTATGACGTGGATTTCAAAAAAAGTCTATTTATTATTTTTTAATAACTAAATTCTTTTTTTTAATATTATATCTTTATTCCATCCCGAATTTTAATTCATTCCGTATTATTTTAAGTTGAAATAAAAATGTTAATTTTGAGTGTTGATAGAATCTATCTATATCTCTAATATAGAGATAGATTCTCTATATGTATCGGTATCCTAGAATTATCTATTATGATATATGAAATGGAAATAGTCAACATGAAATCTATCTAGGAACATATATCTTCTATGATATTTGATATGGACAAATCTATCTAGGAGCATATATCTTATATGATATTTAATATGGATT